AATTCACTTGCAAGTCATGGCATAACCTTCCTGATGTTATGATCCTCTTCAAGAATGAAGGACAAACAACAATAAGTGTTGTGAAAAGCACTGCTGAAATGAAGGAAGACAGAAAAGCTGTCTTTCCTTAGAAGACTTGGCATCTTTGTCTGATATGAAATTGCCCTCTTCATCCCAAGCCCTGGGGCTTTTAAGTAAAGGCAATAAGTATCCCACCCACCTTTTCACCAGCACTGCTATCTAACATCACTGATAATGACTTCCAAGGACTGACTGAGGTCAAGATTTGCTCCATCCATTTAAATTTCTTCTGAAGATCATTATGAGACTTCTGAGCTAAAAGATGGAAAAGTAGTGTACAGTCATGTAACAAAAGTAATCATGGAAAATGGACAGAAAGAATATTCAGGTTTACCTTACTCCTCTTTCAATTTGCTCCCCACCTGCCTTCACAGAAAATCACAGAGTTGAAAAAGGCCTCAACGGCCATCTAGTCCAATGTATGCTTGCCTCTGAATCCCCTCTACACCATTGCTAACAATAGGTCATCCAGCCTTTGCTTGAAGACAACATGGTCATGTGAAGTCATATGTCATAGTTAACACAATACTGACACTGGAGTTAAAGAGATATAAATTCAAATCTTGTGTCAGGCACTTATTAACTGTGAGATCATGGACAGGTTAGCTCACTTCTCTGAGCTCTGCTTTCCTGGAAAATGTGTATAATAGTAATGCTTGGGAATGCTATCAGAATGTGAGAATCAAATGAGATGATACAAAGTGCCACATACTTTAAGAGCTACAAAAATCTGACAATTATTGAGGGTGGATCCATCACCTCTCACAGCAGCCCCTTCTACTCTTGGACATCTGTAATTGTTAGGAAGTTTGTCATAATGTCGAACCTAAATTTTCATTGTTTCAGTTCCTGCCCATTCCATGTTCTGGCATCAGGAGTGTTTGTTCCTTTAACTAAGTGGAACAAGGGATAAGCACCATCCTCTCTAGCCAGCCAGAAAAACTCAGCCACACTATAGCAAGAGTTATCTTACATATTAAAGGTCATGACACCACCACAAATTTCATAGTATATATAATTTAGTATAGTGGGTAAGCCACTGGTCTAGGAATCAGGAGACCTGAGTTCCAGGTACTAGTGTGAGACTGCTAGGTGGTACACTGGATGGATTGCTAGCCCTGGAGTAAGAAAGATCTGAGTTCAAACCTAGTCTCAGACATGTAAGCTTATCTATTGCTGTTATTCCAAGTCTCTTTCTGCTACTATCTAGCTATATGAGTTTGAATAGGTCACTTATTTCACTTACTTATACATGTGTAAGAGAAAGGGTTGGGTTTAGATGACTTTTCAGATTCCTTTTTAACTGTAAAATTCCTTGATTTGGAAATCTTAGAGGTTTTTTTCACCCAATTAATAAATTAATAGGCATTTATTCAGTGTATACTGTGTGCCAGGCTCTGAACTAGGAACAGGAGATACAAAGACAATAGTGAAACATTCTTCCCTCAAGGAGCTTACATTTTAGCAAGGGAGGCTACATGCACATATACATGAATAAACAAAACATAAAATCAATGCAAGATAACAGTGGGTCAAGGCATTAGCACTAAGGGAACCAAGAAAGGCATCATGCAGAAAGCAGTGCTTGAGGGGAGTCTTGAAGGAAACTAGCCAAAAGGCAGATGTGAAGAAGGTGGATGTTCTTGCCATGGGGGACAATGAGGGCAAAGGCACAGAGACAAAAAGTGTAAGAAACAATAAGACCATTATGGCTAGATCACAGGATGAATAGAGAGGAGTAACATACAGGAAGGCTACAAAATCAGGATAAAACCACATTGTGTAGAACTTCAAATGTCAGGGCAGCTAGGTGGCACAGTGGATAGAGCACTGGCCCTGAATTCAGGAGGACCTGAGTTCAAATCTGACATCAGACACATAACACTTACTAGCTCTGTGACCCTGGGCCATTGTCTAAAGCCAAAAAAAAAATCAAATGTCAAAAGGAAGCGTTTTAAACTTGATCCTACAGATAATAAAGAGCCCCTAGAGTTTAGTGTAAGGAAGAGACATGGTCAAATCTATGCTTTAGGAAAAATCACTTTGACATCTGTGTTAAGGCTAGATTGAAGTGGAGACAGACTTGGGGAAGGGATAACAATTAGGAAGCTACTACAATAGTCCAAGAGAATAGTAATGGGGGCCTGATCCAAGGTGGTATTAAGAAAGGAATATGTATGAGAAATGTTGTGGAGGTAGAAATGATAAAGTAGACCAGACATATAGGGTGAGTCACAGTAAGAAGTTGCAGAGGAGACCAAGGTTGCAAACCTGGGTAACTGGAAGAATGGCAGTGCCCCCAACAGAAACAGGGGAGTCAGGACAATGGGAGGGGTCAGGGTTGACTGAGGATGAACATAATGAGCTCTGTCTTGGATATGTTGAGTGTTGTTGCTCAGTCATTTTCAGTCATATCCAGCTCTTTGTGACTCCATTCGGGGTTTTCTTGGAAATGATACAGATGAGGAAACTAAAGTAATCAGGCTTAAGTGATTTGCCTACAGTCACACAGCTGGTAAATGTCTGGGGCCAGATTTGAACTCAGGAAGTTGAGTCTTCCTGACTCCAGACCTTGCATTCTGTCCACTGTGCCACCTAGTTACCCCCAATATGTTGCTGAATATGACAAGACTAAAGGAAATTCAGTTAGAAATGTCAATAATAGCTAGCTGATAAGGAATAGAGGTCAAGGGACTGACTAGGACTGGATAGATAGATAGATAGATAGATAGATAGATAGATAGATAGAGATAGATAGACAGACAGACAGACAGATAGATCCAAGAATCATCTGTACCAAATAATAATTAAGCTGATAAGACCACCAAGTAAGAGATAAAAAAGCAGGACAGAGTTGGGAATACACCCACAGTTAGGGGCATGAAATAGATGAATCTATCTATGAATATCTAATTAATCTAATATCTACAAATCTCTAATTATGACTCTAGACTGAGGAGCAATCAGCCAAACAGGAGGAGAATCAAGTTAAATTATTATTATTGTATGTAAATAATATTAATATTATTGAAACAAATAATAATAGCTAGTATTTATATAGTACCTACTATGTGACAGGCAATATGCTAAGCAATATCATCTCATTTGATCCTCATGATACCCCTCAAGGTAGATAACATTATTATCCCCATTTTCCAATCTAGGAAACTTGTTTTCTTGGCTCTGCTTACTTCTTTCTGCATCAGTTCATTTAGATCTTCCCATGATTCTCTGCATTCCTCTCAGTTTTCACCTCTTACAGCACAATAATGTTCCATTATATTCAGGTACCACAGCTTGCTTAGTCATGCCCCAATTGATGGATATTTATTTTATTTCCAGTTCATTGCTATCCCAAAAAGTCTTGCTATAAATACTTTGCTGTAAATGGGGACTTTCTGCTTATCAATAGCTTCCTTAGGATGTAAGCCTAGCAGTGGAATCTCTGGGTCAAAGCATATGGAGGGAAACCTGGGAGTGTTCTTCCTAATTTGCCTGGTGGAGTTTTGGTCATTCACAGGAGTCTCACCAACTATGGACTTAAGAGAAGAGTCAAGGGTAAAAAGCACTTGACCATAGCAATGTTGTTTACAGAGTTGATGGGGAGCACAGGCACATGCCTGGGAACTTGAGACCAACATGAGATACTGCTGGCAACCTAGCCATCCTGAAGGCAGAGATTCTAGGACCAGAGATAGCATAGGATAGTAGCATCACAGAATTGGAGCTAGAGTTAATACAGCATGAGTGCATAGATATGGAATTGGAAGGAGGAGAAAGGGGAACAAGAATTTATTAAATGCCTACTACGTCCCAAGCTCTATGCTAAATACTTTACTAATATCTTATTTGATTCTCACAACAACCTTGCAAAGTACTATTACATTGTTTTACAGTTGAGGAAACTGAGGCAGGCAGCGGTTAAGTTGCTTACCCAGGGTCACACAGCTAGTAAGTAAAGCCAGATTTGAACTCAGGCTCCCTGACTCTAGGCCTGGTGTTCTTTCCACTGTACCAACTAGCTGCTGAGCTTTGAACTCAGGCTCCCTGACTCTAGGCCTGGTGTTCTTTCCACTGTACCAACTAGCTGCTGAGCTTCACCAGACATCTAGTTCAACTGCTTTGTTTTACACATGAGGAAAATGAGTCCAGAGATCATGATTTGCTCAGGGTTCCACAGGTAGTAAGCATCAGATGCCACATTTGAACCCAGGGCTTCTGACTCTACTATACTGTGGTACAGTGTAAGCTCTTCATTTTATAGATGTGGAAACTGAGGTCCAGAGAGATTAAGTGACTTCTCCAAAGTCATACAGGTATTAGCAGAGACATAATTCATACTCATATCTTCTCACTCCAAATCTAGTGTTCTTTCTACTACGACATAAATGCATAAATTGCTAACATGGGGGCAGCTAGGTGGCATAGTAAATAGAGTACCAGCCCTGGAATCAGGAGGACCTGAGTTCAAATCCGGTCTCAGACACATTACACCCACTTGCTATATGACTCTGGGCAAGTCACCTAACCCCATTGCCTAGTTTTAAAAAAAAAATTGCTAATATGCCAGGCAACTATAAATAAATAAATGGATAAATAAATACATAAATAGATGAAATTTCTTTAGGCAAATATTGAAAAATACTCTTGGCTTAGAAATATTCTTGCCATGAAGACTTAGCCTTGGATTAGTATTTCAAGAACACCAGTTTCTTTCTGGCAATCATTCGTGTGCTCTTTAAGGAAAATAAGAATGTAGACCTAAATTTGATCATAAATTATTCATCTGAGGATTTTCCTCATTTTGCCTCTGAACATTCTCCTAGCTATTTTCTTAACAGAAAATCCCTCCTTGGTGCCATCATTTACAAATGAAGACAATTCCCAGTAAAATAACTCTCTCCACTCACCACAAGTAAGGACTCATGTTGTGTCAGCTTATGACCAGCCTCTATGGACTATATTCTTCCCAGTCATGGCAGGCCAGTAGTCTGGTGGGCCTAATTAGAGGATGGGAAGTTTTATTTTATTAACATTAGAAAAGTAATGATTAGCAGATAAGATTATCCCTCCACGGCAAACATCATTGCCAACATTTCCCTCCTAGAATATTTAGCTTTTTATTCCTTCTTTCCACACTGCCCAGCAGGTCTCAATCAAATCAGGATTTTTTGCTGGGAAAAAAAGACTACCTATTTTATGCACTATATTTATGTCTCTTGGTAAACTCTTCGTTGGTTTACAGAGCCTTAAGAAAGCATTGCAAATTCTCATTATGTTCCTTGGCATTAAATTTGGCATTAGGTTATCTGACAGACCAAATTTCACTTAAATAGACATCCTCTATTAGGATTGGCTATCCATCCCAGATACAGTGGAGAACAAGTAATTCAGGCCAATCATTCTGGTCCTGAGGACTCTTACTAGAAGACCTAGTAAAAATGGTGCTTTTAGCTAAAGCCACATTTTAGTAGATTTTTCCCTTATGTGAAGGGGGAAAAAGAATTTAAAACAGTAGTTTGTGGAACATTCCTTTTAAGAAATCTTTTTCAGAGACAATCAAAGCATTCTTAGATGGATATGGCAATGGAAACCTTTAAGTGATAGAATGAATCAACCAATACAATGGAATGAGAAGCCTGAAAATTGTCTGATGAAGTTGGAGTAACAAAAAAATCAACAAATCAATAAACATTTATTAGGTGACTGCTATGTGCCAGGCACTGTGCTAAGCTCTAGGGATACAAAAAGAGGCAAAAAGCAACCCCTGCTCTCAAGGAACTTGCAGTCTAGTTGGGGAGACAACATGCAAACAAATATAAACAAAGCAAGTTCTGTGTGTATATACACACACACACACACATTCATACATACCCCATACAAATTCAAGCTGGTAGTTTGGGGAGGTTAAGGAGCTAGAGGCCAGGGAGACAGAGAGGAAGCTCATGGTAGAAGAAGGATACCTAATGAAGGGAGAACAGAAAAGGACAAGTCAGGGTTTATTTGTTTTAAGTTGATAGATTTTAAGAGGTGAGGTCCTTTGGTTGAAAAATAATGTTTTGTAAATGAGTTAAAGTGTGTGTGTGTGTGTGTATGTGTGTGTGTGTGTGTGTGTGTACCCTTTTGGTATTCAAAGTCCTTCACCACCTAAAATTTATATAACATATAGATAGATATAGATATTAAGTGAAAAATAGGAAATAATTAATGGGAGGAAAGCACTAGAATTAAGAAGGGTTGGGAAAGGCTTCCTGTAAAGGATGGGATTTTAGCTGGGACTTAAAGAAAGCCAGAGAAGGCAGTAGGTAGAGTTGAGGGGTGAGAGAATTCTAGGCATGAGGAAGAACCAGAGAAAAGGACCAGAGCTGAGAGGTGAAATGTCTTGCTCATGGAACAGCCAGAAGGCCAGTATCATTGAATCAAATAGTACCTATCAGGGAGTAAGGTATAGGAGGTATAAGAGGGTATTAGGTTATGAAGGGCTTTGACTATCTAACAGAGCATTTTGTATTTGATCCTGGAAGCAATAGGGAGCCCCTGGAGTTTATTGAGTAGAGAGGTGACATGGTTGGGTATGTGCTTTAGGAAACTCACTTCCGTGGCTGAATGAAGGATGGATTGGAGTAGGGAGAGGCAGACAGAGACACCAGCAGGTTATTGCAATAGTTTAGGTATGAGGTGATGAGGGCTTGCATCAGAGTGGTAGCAGTGTCAGAGGAGAGCAGGGGATATTCCAAAGATCTTGCAAAAGTGAAACTGATAAGATTTGGTTTGGCTTTTGAGGAGGAAGGGAGAGGTGTTGATAGTTAGCAATCCAAGATGACATCTAGGTTGTGAGCCTAAGGGGTGGGAGGATGGTGTTACCCTCACAGGAAGAGGGAGGATCAGGGTGAGAGTTTAGGAAGAGAGATAATGAGTTCTAGGAGGAGAAAATGGCAACCCTAACAAAGTCAGTCCCTCATCAATTAGGAGAGGAATTTTAGTTGTTTTTAGTCTTTAGAAGAAGGATAGTTCTGAACAACCAGAATGATGTATACACATAAAAAAAAAATTAAGACAGGATAATCCATTCAAAAAAGATCAGTCTTTCCTGCTAGGATCCAAATTCCTTTTAAAGTCATTCCTAAAATGGTTATTAAGGGATTCAATTCCATTCATTTAATGAATCTCAAAAGGGCTATTAATTAATGTTAGTTAGTGAAGACTAGAGAAGATTCACAGGGGACTGACTAGGGGGAAAGTGATAGAATATTCAGTTTAATTACATTTATTTAATTCATCAGGGACAAGAGGAGGTTAGTGCCTCAGTCAAACTCTTCTGAAGCTTCTTTTGAAAAAGGAGGGTGTGTAAAACTTCATCCAGCTGATCTGGGATTACCAGATAAAAGTACATGAAAAGATCAAGTGAACCGTAAAAGGATGAAATTAGTCTCCTTTTTTCGTAAACAAATTAAAGGCATGATTGAAAACAGCCATAATTTTCTCAGAACTTTCATATGCTTAAGGAATTTTCAAAGCCTTTAAATTCTATAGCCTTATAAATGTTCTAAAAAAAAAATCTATGAGCCCTTCATGGGCCTTGCTCATTTCTTCCAGCCTCCACAGCAACATCCCCTGAAACTTCCCAGATTCACTCGGATACACCAATAGCCACATTTCCTCAGAATTTTATCACCGCACTGAACACAAGGAACACAAACCACTTCTCTCCCATTACTCCATTTACACATAATTATGGCCTACAATCATGTTTCCCAACCCAAACTATACTGTGAGTGAGTAAATGTATCTATGCTTTTAACATAGACCACAGTGCCTCCTCCCCCCTCCCCATATCAGCTTTGGATTGGTGGTTTGGGGAAGTTAAGGGGCCAGAGGCCAGGGATATAAAAAGGGAGCCTATGGTAAAAGGAGGATACTTAACGGAGGAAGAATAGAAAAGGACGTTTTGTTTTAAGTTGATGGGTTTTAAGAGATAAGGGCTTTTGGTTAAAAATAATGTTTTGCAAATGGGTGAAATTTTGTATGGATTGGTAATTGGGAAAATGACCTAACAAATCAAAGGAGAAAGGCAGTAAACACCTGCAAATGTCACTTCCATTGACTTCTTAAAACCTAGATAAATTTCTCCTTTTTCATGTATATAAGCTACTTGAAAAGAGGAACCATTTTTCTTCTCTTCTTTCCAAAGTTCCTAGTACAGGGCTGGGCAAATGACATAAAATAACACATTCACAGGCTAAAGCTGAAAGTGACCATCATGATCATCTGGTTCAAGCCACTCATCTTCTGGACTAGGAAACTGAAAGCCAAAAACATTCAGCTATTTGTACAAGATTACACAGCTAACAAATGGTAGAGCTGGCTATCAAATGCAGGCTTTTGGAGTCAGAACCCAGGGAATATACATAGTAGAAGAGGGACAAGGCCTGGACCTGACATTTAATTGATTTCCTCATCTCCATACAAGGAAACTTCCTCTACCAATGCAGGGAGTCACCTTCTCTGACCCAGAGATTAAGTAAATGGCTTGCCCAGGGTTACACAGCCAGTATATGTCAGAGGCCAGACTTGTACTCACTCAGGTCTCCCAGTTCCAAGGACAACTTTCTTAATTTACTGTGCCTTGATGCGCTTTATAATAATGGAATTGACATGAGAATAGGCAAAGAGGATGACCACAAAGGAAGGCTCAAAGGGAAATGGGTTTTGCTCACAGATTAATTGTGCACTAATATAGCCATTCAGCCCAGCAGGATTCTTCATAGATGTCAGCTTGATTGGCAAGCCATCCTCCTTAGGTTTCAGAGGATAAGGTATTTCTCTTCTTGCCAAAGTTAATCACTCCACTCCAAGAGTTAATCACTCTTGATCTCACTTTTTCCCATTTCCTCCAGGACCTAGCCCCATCAATCATGACCTTTCTCACTCTCATTGTCGGTCTCTTTCTGTCTATCTTTTGACAATTTGCCCTCTGCCTATAAATGTGCTTATGTTTCCCTTATTCTAAAAGTATTTATCTTCACCCCATAATTCTCCTCTTAAGCTATCAATCTATATCCTCCTCTTCTTCAGTACTAAATGTCTCTAAAGAGCAGTCTACACGTTTCCACTAACCACCCACTCTTCAACGCTTTGCAGTCTGCCTTCTGCCCCTACAAGCCTGATTGCTCTTTCCAAGGTTACTAAGGCCACTTTCGACTACTCAAACAAAGCATCCCAGTAAATTTTGCAGTTCTCTTGATTTGAGGTCCCACTTGGAAAATTCTCTTGAGAGAAAATTCTCTTACCAGGATCACCTAGTGTACCTGCATAAATTCACTATTTTTAAGTACATAGTTCACAGTGCAAGTGAAGAAGGTTTTATTAAAAGGAAACTATTAAATAAGTGAGCTTTAAACCCAAAGCTTTGCCAATGTAAATTCTGAGTGTCACTTAGAGTCATAGGAATGAGCATTTTTCTAGCGGAAGCCTTTCTCTCCAGGTGGTTCTATCACTCAAGGCACTCTCTGGGTTCTGTCTTTGTCTCTGTTTCTGTGTGTCTCTGTATTATCTCTGTCTCTGTATCTCTGTCTCTGCCTCTTTATCTCTGTGTCTGTCTCTGTCTGTCTCTTTCTCTCCAACCTCTCCTATCCTCACCTGACCTCTTTGCTACTCTCTATAGCAGTATGCCATTCTTGGCTACTCTCTATAGCTTTCTCAACTGTAAAGCAAGACAACTGCATTAGGTTGGGGGTTCTTAACCTTCCTGGAATGTTTTAAATGCTTTAAAACTCATAATAATAGGATTACAAAGGACACCAATTATTTTGAAATAGAGTTATCAAAATACTTTTGAAAACTAATTTGCAGAATCCTTAAAAATCTGTCTAGAGACTCCTCAGGGATCCAGAAACCCCAGGTTAAGAACCCCTTAGACTAAATGATCTCTTAAATTTTTTATCACTCTTTCCACCTTAGATCCTTTGGTAAAATTCTTTGTGATGACCTTGGCTGCAGATATCTGGGGAACATCTTCTCACAGAGGTCTACTTGCAGCCCTCCTCTAATAGACAATCTTTTTCAGCACTTTGTGCCCTAGGAATTAAATGGGGGTAAACCTCAGTACTACCTCTTCTAGCTTGGATGAGGTTACAGCTCCCCCAAACAGAGTTTGTCTGTCGGGCAGGACAGTAGACCAGGGATTTTCCCTTATTGCAAGCCAACCAGGAAGATCTTAGCATCACTTTTGAAGAATGATAGCCTCCACCCTCAAATCCCTGCCCTTATAACTCCTTTCTAAATTCCTATCTCCCCTGATCTGAAGATAAAGCAGTGTGGTACAAAGGAAAGACAGTTAAATTTGGATTCACAGGACTTGAATTTGAATTTGAATTTCAGCTCTGCCATTTAGTGCTTGTATGATTCTGGTCAAGTTATATCACTGCTCTGAGCCTCAGTTTTATCATCAGTAACATGAGAGGGGTTAACTAGATGACCTCTAGATCCCTCCCAGATCTACATCTATGATCCTATCACCCTATGATCTAGTCACATGAAAGTTTCCAACACAAACCCCATGTTTAGGTAGGATGACCAATCACTTCTAAGGGCCTTCCATATTTAATATTAAAAATGGATCTTCCTGACCCAAGGAATCATTTCCCACGTGTTCAGAGGTTCACAAACATTCCCAATTGTTTTCAGATTTGCTCCCTAAGGTAGTACTTCGGTAGGATTATTCAAACCAAAGGCTGTCCAGAGCTAGTTACTACTTACCTGTCCTATGGCCTCATGTATCTTCAGCATTTCTTCAGACATGCATGATCTCAGGCTGCTGCTACTTTTCTCCTAGCCATTTTAGGGCAGCGAGGAAGAAAGGAATATTCCTGCAGAAGCTGCATTAGCCAGGGACTGTCTCTGGATACAGGAAAAGATGATTAATTATAGAAGGCAGTATATGCTAAGTACCCAAAACATGGACTGACAGAAACTGTCTACAAGGGTCCTATTTTAAGAATACAAGCACCATTAGCTAAAGGCCTGGCTTCATCTATTTTATCTTTCAGAAGCGCAGCTATGTCTCCATGACACCACCAATCAACCATTAAGCATTTGACTCTGTCATTTTTCCATTGTATTAATAGCTGAATGTCACACAATGGATCATATCTGCTGCACAGTTGATCGGATTAAGTCATTATGGTGGCTGTAGAGAGCAGATCAGCCAGTCCTGTGCAATGATGTGATTAATTGTGCATCATTCAGCCATTTCTGCATGCAAAAGAAAGAAAAAAAGAAAAGAAGAAAGAAAGAAAGAAAAAAGGCTGACTGTGCCACAGTCCCTTTGGTCCTCTCAGGAAGCCACAGACTTAAGATATGGAACAAGAGAAGAAATTAGTTCTGATCAAGTGATAAAATAAAGCTAAAATGCTTTTTAAAAGTGCAGGATGTTACACAAATCTAAGGCGTAATTATTTTTCTAGTTTTTTTAAACAGTATTTAGAATGTTGGATTTAGGGCTGGACCAGATCTGAGGAATCATGCCACCTCTCATCATACAGATGAGGAAACGAGGAAACTAAATGCCTTGATTTACCTAAGGTTAAACACAGAGCCAGAGCTGAAATGTGAGTTGTCTGATTCCAGACCCAAGGCTCTCTATGGCATCATGTTATGTTACCTCTATTCTAGTCAACTTAGTGGGGTGTAGCCACAGACTACACTTAGTAGCCTGAGTTAGAGGTAAGAAATATTTCTATAGTCAGGCTCCTGAATAAAAAGTTAGGAAGAAAAAAATTCTGTCCAGGTAGATGAAAATGAGCCTGGCTATTACTAGTTTTTTCATTTGTGGAAGAAGCAGTTAAGCATGGGGTATGACAAGGGGGTGACAGTGGTGGCACAGAGGACAGGCTGGCTGATCATAGGCTCAGTTACACTGGGAGACAGAGTGACCTATTACCCTAGAAGTATGACAAAACTTCCACAGAGTTTATTGGGGTGAGGGCAGAAAGACAAATTATGAGAGAAGAGCACTGTGATGGCTCGTGTAGCATTCTAAAACTAAATGAGGAAGTGAGGTGACAATGCATAGCACAGCAGAGGACCATTAAGCATGAGATATGAGGATGGCAAAGGGAGGTCTAGGGAAAGTGGACCCTACCTGAGAAGAAGCATGCTTCTCTATAGAGCCACATTGGGATGTCAAATCAAAATGGACAAATAATAATTTAATCAAAACAAAAGAAATTTATACTGTCATCCAGCTCCCCCCCCCAGTAAAAATGCTACTGACTCAAATAACAGGAAGAAGTCCTTCTTTCATGCATTTTTGTGGTTTATGAAGTATCATATAAAACTGCCTTGAAGGCAAGACTGCAAGACCAAAGCAGTAGAAAGAGATGCAAATATTTTGTTCATTTCTTGAGTACCTACTGCTTGTGAGAAGCTGTGCTAGGTAATGGTATAGCTACAAAAATAAGACATGGTTGTGCAGCTCAAATATCAGAAGGATTGCTTTGATTTTTCACTTTACATCCCTGTGTTTCGCGCTTTTTTTATCTGTGATTTTTTTAATCTAATGTGCCACTAATACAGGACTAGTTGAACAGATTTCTACCATGAACTGTGAAATTTTGATTAATCAGAATGCAAGTAATCTGACACTTGCCCAAATAACCAGCTGAATTTACCAACGGCAGAAATGGTGTTCCAAGAGATCTGAATTCTCCACCTAAAAGGAACCAATACAAAACTTTCAACTTTAAAAAGCTTCAGAAAGCTCTTTGAAAGATTTTACTTGAGTTAAAATCATCAAAGGTCATCAACTACACATTTACTAGCTTCCGAGTATAAAGAATTTTCTTTCTTCTCTTTTTCTTCTGTCCCAACAAAAAAAGCAAGAAACAAAATTACCACAAATCAAAAGAAAAGCTGCCCTCTGGCCCGTGAGCTCAAAGAAAGTCCCATAAATGCAAGAGGGAAAACAACTCACTAAAATAAAAATATGCAGTTGAACAAAAAGCAAACCTATAATTGACTCTGCTCAATTTGTGTCTGAGAAGTCTCAGTCTCCTTCAAAATCAGCCCTACCTTCTCTAGACATCCCCTCCTATCTGATCTCCCCCAAACACTGAAGTCCCCCAAATTACTCTATATTCTATCTTTTAAATTCCAACTAAAATCCCACCTTTTACCAGAAGCTTTGCCCAATCCCTCTAAATTCTAGTACCTTCCCTGTGTTAATTATTACCTATTTATCCTATATGGACCTGGCTTTTATATATATTTTATATATATTTTTGTTTCAAGCTCCTTGAGGGCAATGACTCTCTTTTGCCTCTTTTTGTATCCACAGCCCTCAGCACAGTGTCTGGCACATAGTAGTCACTTAACAAATGTCGATTGATTGATATCTTACATATACTTATATCTGTACATTCTCTGCCCTTTGATCAATGTAAGTTCCTAGAATGGGAGGTCAGTTTCATTTTTTCTTTGTATCCCCAGAGCCAAGCACAGTGCCTAATTCAAAGCAGGTATTTACCAAATACTTGTTGATTTTACTTAGTGATTTATTAAATAGGATCAGAGTAAACATACCCCCTCATTTGCTCTTTGCAAAAATCCTTTGGAGAATATTTGTATTTACTTATTATCTTCCTGTGTTTTATTTTTTCAATGGTTTTGCCAATTGGTCATGAAATTTATTTACTGATGCTTAAAAAGAATGCTCAAGAATGTCCAAGATCATTGTTGAAGCCACACATTAAAAGATACAATAAGTCAGATATCAAACTGTATAGAAGGTATGGTAGGACTGACAAGACTGAAAGGCTTTGCTTAAGGTCTGGTCTCTGGAATTCTTTTACTCATTTTAATTGTGTGTATAAGGAAAAATGCTTTTTATTAGGCTTTTGTGCTGTCCTTCCTCCCTCTGAGGAATTTAAATGTCAATATTGCTTACTGCAGTATATATACATGCATATACACATTTATATTAATAAGTAAGGATTTTATTCCCCTGTTAGGAGTTTTCTTTCCTCTTACCTAAGGAATCTGAGTTAGCACTTCACATGTAGAATCCCAAGGGTGTATTTCTGTAATAAAATTATTCCTCATTTGAGAGAATAAGCAAAGAGCATTTTCCTGGAAATTGCCCAGATATTGGCATTTAGCTTGTGTTAATTATTCCTTGCTTTTTGCTTTCATCCCTAGAATCATCCAGGATAGTATCCCCTCTTTTCATTGATAACAAATCCACCAGGGACTAGACAGCCCCATACCACCTGGCATCATAAATAAGGCGTTCCATATCTCCATTGTTAACTAAGATTGGATACATTGGGAAATATTTTAGATTCATACTCTCATTGCCTCTCAACCAATTACTGTACTCAAAGATTCCAAACATAAATCTGGTAGTAGAGGTAGTAGACAACACTTTGCTCTTGAAATCTCTAGAACACATCAGAGATAAGATTTTTTTTCTATATGAAAAGGGAAAGCCAGGAAGCCATCTTGGGAGCTGCACACCATCCCAATCTGAGGAACTGCTCTACACCATCTCCCCTACCTGGACATGGATTTGGAAGCCTGAAATATCCCATTCCTGCCTCTGATTATTATAAAAAATATATCCCTTAATCAAAATCTTTAAGGCATATAAGTCTGGTGCATGGGATTATTATCTTCTCTGTAGTATGGATGCTTGAATCATCATCATCACCATCATTGCTAGAATTTTTATAGCACTTTAAGGTTTGCAAAGCAATCAAGTATCTTACAAGTATTTTATTTGAACCTCACATGACCCTGGCTATTACTATCCCTCTTTAACTGATGAAAAAACTGAAGCAGACAGAGGTCAAGGACTTGCCCAGGGTCACACAGCTAGAAAGTGTCTGAGACCAGACTTAAACGTGTCTTCCTGAATCACCATATTGGTGATTTGGAAAATCACTTGCCACCAAAGGAAAGGACTGACCTGGGTAGAAAAAACTCATCAAGTCTCAACCTCATTTTTTTTAAATTCTTCAAATTCAGGGAACCTTCATTCTAATTGCTGCAATGAGTGGCACTGATTTAGAAGTAAAATTACAGCAATTGCACATTCTATCGCTAGTGCTGAGCTGCGGACCTTTCATGATATTTAGCAAATGAAATTGGAAACATGGCTCACAATACTTTCATTCTTTCTTATTTCATTATGTTGCAAAAAATAAAACAACATGTCAGACATTTTCATAGCTTACAAAGAACACTTTTAATAAAAATTATGGATTGCCATCAATCAAATGTAGTTCTAACACAGAATTTTCCACTGGGACCAGAGTCTGACCAATCAGGAGAGGAAATTCTTCAGCCAGTATAAAACTAAATTCAACAAAGATAGCTGTTCTATGAAGTTGTAATGAGGCTTTCCACAGTTTCATCTCTGTGGGCACAAGTGACTTTCTTTTCCTCTCTTAAAAAACACATTTGCCTAATTACAACAGACAGCTCTCAAAAAACACCTAAGCAAATCCCCAATGAAGCATATTTCAAAGAAAAAACTTCTCAACAGAGCGACTGAGATTGATTTATGCATGTCTCTTTTCACTTGTTAATAGAATTGAAAAGGAAGTATGCTTTAACTTTAATAAATAATAATACACTATCCATCATCTGTGAACTAAATTTTATTGACATTGCCTTTACTTAGATTTTGTTGTCTTTGAGTAGTAAATTATTTCTTTGACTCACATTCTTAACTCCACAGTTTGTATGTCTGCCCATATTTCTCTGAATTCTTCACCCTTTTCATTCATTATGGTACAATAAAATTCTACTATATTCATATACCATGACTTGTCTAGCCATTCCCCAATTATCATACCTTATTTTGTTTCCAATTTTTTTATAACTTCAAATAATTATAATTTGTTTTTAAATACATGAGTCTTTTCTAGCTACCATTCATTCATATCCTTGAGGGTATAAAACCAGTACTGAGATCTATGGGACATAAGGAAGAAACAATTTAATAAACTTTTTTGCATAATTCCAAGCTGATTTTCAGAATAGATTCCACCAGCATAAATCAGCAAGCCTGTCTCCTCCCATATACTCTGATATTGAATTTTATAATGTTTTACCATCTTTGCTACTTTGATGGGTATAAGCTGATGTCTCAGAGTTGTTTTAATTTTATATTTCTCAGATAGTAATGTTAAAAGGGTTTTCGGATGGTTGTTGATAATTTGGCTTTCATCTTTTAATTAATTTGCTGATATCCTTTGACCACTTGTGTATTAGAAAATGGCTCTTAATCTTCTAGTTTTATGAAAATTCTCTGCATAATTATATATGTTGGAATTTTATAAGAAATTTTGTCAGAAAAAAAGTCAAAGACTTGGAAATGTCTATTCAAGTGGGTGTTGGGGAAGTAGTCCAAGGGAGGTGCTACTTTGGCATAACCTAGCAGTGAACATCAAATCAGCAGTAATATCTGCCAATTCTTTCAGAAGCTAAAGACATAATTCTTCTAGATCTGATGACAAACTCATTGAAGGCAGCAAGATATCATGGTCTGTCTCCTTACTTTTCTTTAATTTCTCAGCTTTGATAATCTTTTTTTGTTCATCCTTTCTAGTCAAAAGATCACACTCCTCAAAAGGAGAAAAGAAGGAAAGCGAGTTGAGTTCAGTCGTCTCAACATCATTCAATATCATCCCACTATTCCCATCCCTTCTTTCATCTTCATCATGCCACCAACATAGTTTCAAAAATCAAATAAAAATAAAACCTTTTTGTTACCTTTAGCACTCATGGTTTGCCTCAGTGCCTTCTGGTTTTCAGCCTTCTTGATACAAGTTTTATAAGAATCAGTGTTCGGGGCTTGTGGGGATAACTTCAGAAGCTGGAAAAGTAATCAGTCTCTTCTGCTTTTTCCCTCAACATCTAGGAGCAACTGTACTCTAAGTAAATGAATATATAGTAAACATTAATGTAAATCTAATTTAAAAAAAGTGAAAGCACAGCTCATCATAATATGCTTTACCTCATTCCCTTTTTTTTTTCTTTTGGCTTACCCTTGGATCTTTCAAGCAATTCTGATCAAATTAACACTTCCATTGTTCCTGGAAGGTATTTCAATCTCTTTCCCTTATCCTATTGACTATTACTTTAACTTTTCAGACCCAATTGCCCCTTTTTGGTCACCATTTCCCTTTGTGTACCATCCCCCCCATTAGAACATGAGTTCCATGAGGTAAAGAGTTGTCTTTGCTTTTATGTTTGTATTTCCAGTGTTTATCTCAGTGCTTGACCCATAAGGATTTAATAAATGCCTTTTAATTCATTCATTAATTCATTCATTTGCAGAAGTTAAAGAGCCAAATGAAGTGTATTAAAGGATATAACACAGTCATCAAGGTTGCAAGAGAAAAGTGCCAGAAAGTATTTTCTTCTAGATTCCTCCTGGACCTGTGATAAGCTTTCATATCTCATCAGCGTCTATGGAGGGTGAATAGCAAAGAAACCTTGCAGCAACAAATTAGCCCATTCAACATTTGAACACTTTCAATTTTAGGAACTATTTCCTTATTTTGAACCAAAATCTCTTTCTTTTTAACTTTTATTCATTGGTCCTAGATTTGTTGCCTGGGGCCAAGAAAAATTCCCTTTCCACATGATAAAACTCAAAAATCACCTTTTGACATAGTTTATCAGTAAAGTCTCACCTCAGTCTGGCCTCAGTGGTTTGGCCATGGTATATTTGCCAGGGTACACTTGGTTGAAACTTGTGGACAATCTTTCTGAGTTCATAACTGCTCTTTGGGGTTGCTCAATGTCAGGATATATTCCATACCTTCAGTGATCTTAGACAGATGGTAAGCTGAATGGAAAGTCTCTCTACTGGTTATTTCTCAGTTTGTTTAAGGTTTACTACACTACATCCAATTATTTTAGGAGTTGTTGGTTACTTCAAGGTATGCAGACTGTCCAGTTCATATGTTAACAGTTATCCTAAGAACCCCCTAGACAAAATTACTATTATCTTGGAAAGATGAGAGGGGAAGGGCAAGAAAGCTTACACAGTACAGTTTTTTGTAAAAGTTAAAGAGGGAATAATAACTTTCAAAAAATTATTAACTTTTAGCTTACAAGCAGGAAAAAAATGTGTTTCTTCTACTTAAGAAGATAATCTATCAAAATCGAGGTTGTCAAAGCATAAATGTATTGAATTCCACACAGGGTTTGGTACATCACTTCCACTGGCCTAAATTCATATTCCAGCAACAACCTCAAGCCTTGAGGTAGGCTACAGCACTTATACAAGGCACTGGCCAAAAAAATGGACTGCCCATAAAAGCAGGCTACTCTTTTGTTCTCATATTCAGTTTCCACTTTCTGTACAATATATTGAAAAGTCTAAGTAGCTCAAGGATTTTTCTGGGCATCCACCACAGTCTCTTTCAACAGCTTCCCTTTTCCCTCTTCATTGGAATTATTTCTACTTTGTGTCTTCAGATTTTTTTTCTTAAGTCTTACATCTACTATCTCATTTGATATTCACAATAATTCTGATGGGTAAGTTCAAAATTATCAGCATTTTGCCCATGAAAAAACTGAGGCACAAAGAGGTCAATTTCATATCTTGAAAACATCCCTTGAATTTTCATATGACCATAGATTTAGAACTACAAGAGACCTTAGAGGTAATTTGGTTCACTTCCTCACTTTCAAGATGATGAAACTGAGGTCCAGAAAAGCTGTAACTTGCACAAGGTCATACAGGGGTATTAATGGAACTCAGAATCTCTGACTAGAAATGCAATGTTCTAAGCACAAAACAAAATGGACAATTGAGTCAATTTTTCAGATATTATAATTCAGGTCAAGCTGAAAGGGAAGTTATTTTTTCTAATCTATTAGTCTTTAGAGAGTCAAGTTTCCATGCCTGATGAGTAAACTAGACAGAAACAATGAAACCAAAACATTCAGTTGGAGATGGGGGGAGGGGGGAGAGCAATATTGGGAATCAAACAGGATGTTCCACTGAATTGGCCTGAGAATACAATTAAAACTGTGAATCTCTGTAGTCACAACTTAAGTGACTCTTCCAAGAAACAGCACACAAATCTCACCCTAATCTAAGAGTTTTCAAGTACATTTGATTTTGCAGACAAATCACCGGTCCTGTCCTGAAGACGTCAAGACATAGACTTAGTCATGTGACAACTCCGTTGACAAAAATAGCTGGCCTGTGTGCTTGCTGTAACATGAGTACTCAAGCACTTTGCAGATGACTTTCCATTACCAAATCTGGGGAACACTTCAGAGAGTTTTTGTTAAACTAATTTAAAAGGCAGATTGCATTCTCTATAATTTGATAAGGATTGTTCAAGCTTGGTCTGATGAGAAATCCAGATTGTGGGTAAACTAAGTTGCACTTGGTTTCAACTTCAGTCTTTTAGGAAATGATTGACTTCCATCAGGGCTGCATCTACACACGGACCAACTGTTCTAACTGACTGGGCCCATTAACCCAGTGAAATAGCCAGTCAGGCCGGTTGTTTTGTTGAGCTAACTGGAATCTGCAAGCTGTTTTGACATCATGTAGACACAGCCTAAGACCTTATACCCTGGAACAGATCACACACCTCAATTTGCTACTAATGAGGCTTGAAGTGAAACTCATTTGGCCAAACTCAGCATCCACTTTCATGCTTCATGTTTTGAATTTCAAGCAGGGCTTCAGCACTTTTTTTTTTTACAGAAGTACTTTATTCCTTTTTTCTATGCTTTTTGTAATTTATTTCATAAGTAACACCCCTTGAATTCTTCATCCCATCCTGTGAGTGCAAAGTAGCAGGGATTTGGCTGTCCAATGGACAGCAAAAAAAAAAAAAGCTATATAAAGAAAAGTGACAAAAGAGAGGTGGCTGGGATAAAGTAAAGGATTTAGAGTGGGAAAATGACATGTCTCTTGACCATTTGAAATAGTAACTGAAAAAAATCAAGGTCAGAGACCTTGGGTGGAACAGTGACAGAAGCATTCTCTGGGCCAAGCCTCACCATTGAATTGATTGTCCTTGCTCCACCAACAACTAGCTAAATTTAATGAGGTCACTCTGAGGTCTCAACCAGCAACAGGACACCAAATAGAAAAGTACTAGCTATTATTAGCTTCACTATGAAAGTTAATAAGACATTAGAATAACATATTATTGTAATATCTACTCCCTATGCATTGAAAGAGGAGCTGAGAAACTAGGTACAGAGTTCCTATGTCTCCATCTAATGATCAGCCCTCCTGGATAGTATGAGTAGAAAATCTGTTAGAAACTGCTGTAATATCTACCCACCTTTGCCCACTCACAGGAAGGGTAGTCATGGCAAGGTTAAGCTAACTGAACTGTTCTCTTCGTATAAGTGCTGGTTTCAGAGTGGCCTAAGAAAGCCCTGGGAGTAAGAGAAGCTGATGTCGTGTTTCCAAATAATGGATGTTTTCTTATGTATTTCCTATTGCTTTTATTATTACTAAACTGAGAGGGAAACACTATGTACAACTAAGCATATTCTGTATGTTTCTGTGAGCAGTGAGTATCATGCTTAGGATACATGACAAGGATTCAGGAAAACATCACTAGTTAAGGGAAAAGATTGGGTTTGCCAGTAAATGGGAGGTCAGTCCTGATTCTAATTGATAAATCCACAAAGTCTCTTACATTGATGAGATGTCACAGCCAATCAGCAAGTATCAAATCTAGAGAAGAGAAGGTTATCTACTCCCTGAGAATCCTAGAGAACTTCACATTTTCTCTGCATTTCTGTTTATTGAGATGGAGCACATAATTGGCAGGATGAGCATGGAACTCCCCAGCTCTTGACTCTTCATGTTGGGCAGGCTCAGGTAAGTGGCTAGCAGTGTACCTTGAGGGTTAAATGCTTTTTATAGTTAATTTTTGCACATGACTTATCTCTCTTTTATGTGATCTGTTAAATATTAATAACAGGTGTTCATCGATCACATCTGCTAATTATTTCATTACCCAAGTACTCAATTCATCAAAATGGTAGCTAAGTGCTCATTAACTGTTCCCTTACAAATCCTGGGCATCAGCTCCCTCTTAGTCATTTTCACTCTATTCTTTCCCATCCAAAGGTTATTTTTTGGCAGAGAAAACAGAAGCAAAATAAGAATTCAGTTATCAACACGTTCTCCACTTGTGGCAGTGTGTCTATCCTTTCTGTGATTCTTCTCTTTCCCTTCATTGAGCTTTAGATGAAGAAGAAAACACAAATCTACTTTTGGTGTTTCTTGCCAACCTCAATCAATCCTGACTCATGACACTCTTCTTTCAGAATCCTGCTGTGTTTTTAGTTAACCTCTGTTGCCTTCAATCTTCTGTTCAGAATTTGAAGTTGGTTGGTGAGTTCCTTGCGCATCTACATCACTCTTCAAAAAGATCCAGTTTTTCTCAGCTGATTTGTTTCCTTTTGTGCCTTCAAAATTTCACTTTTGAGCTGCCCCATCCCTCTTCAGATGCCTTCCTCTGTTTAAGAAACATAAAGAATGGGGAGAGGAGAATGGAAAAAACAGGGGGAAAGCTTAATAAGCAGCTGATACTCAAGATAATTAAGATAGCACCTAACTGCCTTTAGCGGTATTTCTCCAGTGGCTTCTATTGCTAGCACGTATAGATCAACTCAGGATTTAGAATTGAATAAAATGTTAGATATCTAGTTTCTTTATCTTAAGAATGAATAAAGCCCAGAGAATTTAATGGACTTGGCCCAAATTGATACAAGTAGTTAAGTGTTAGAGCTAAGAGTTGAACCCAGGACTTTTAATTCTGACACCAAAATTCTTTCCACTATAACACACTCTTTTCCTTTGATACTAATAATAATGTAGCGTAAGTTTCAATATCCCAGGTTTATGTAGGTATCCTTGAGGTAATTATAGACATGTGAATGTAGCTTAAATCAGGGGTGAGTGTTCTGGCAAATGTTTAACAACAGGCTCTCCAAAACCACAGGGCACATTTAACTAATCTGCATAATTAACATCTCCATCACTTTTTTAGATATAAATAATCAACAAAATAATAAATCAAGTCCTGATTTGTACTGTTTACCCATTTCCAAAGGGTAAATGTTCACACTGAAAATCTGTCAATCAGTTCTGCAGTTACAACTAGCTCAAACACACACCTGCCTCTAGGTCTAAATTCTATAATAAGTCACATTGTAGATTTGTTTGCCATTTGAAACCAGTGCATTGTAACTGCGGGGCACAATTAGAGAAGGGTCATAAGAAATACCAGAGCTGAATGTAAGAACATTTATGGGGCAGCTAGATGGCACAGTGGATAGAGCACAGGCCTTGGATTCAGGAGGACCTGAGTTCAAATCCAGACTCAGACACACAACACTCACTAGCTGTGTGACCCTGGGCAAGTCACTTAACCCCATTGCCTAGTCAGAAAACAAACAAACAAACAGAAATACCAGAGCTGAGAGGGGGGCTGAGATCAAGTCCACAAGTTTAAGAGCTAAAGTTAGTTCTACTAAAGCCAATGAAAAGGTGCTTTCAAGGATGAATCCTACCTTGTCGTATCTCTCCCAGCACTATCTAGTACAGAGATCAGTAATCAGTGGTGGATCCTGAGGCTTTGTGTGTGCTCCTGAATAATTTTTTTCCTCTGACTGAATTGACCGTAACTGTCTTAGTCTTTGTACTACATTAAATAGGGAGACTGGGTTATTGACAGCCTTACTTTCTAAGTTCTTTAAAATGATAATGGATCATTCTACATGAAATCTAGTTTCTCCTGGGATCTACCTAGAGGGAAGGCTTTGGATTAACAGAATTATAATAGCTACTTACACTTATATAATGCTTCACAAAGTGCTCTTATAGCTCATCTCCTTTGATATGCACAACAGATAAGTTGTTCAAATATTGAGTTCTTCATTTTGCAAGTGATAAGACTGAGTCAGACAGTTTAAGTAACTGTCATGTTCACACAACTTATAAGTGGCAACCTTAAGTACTTAACTTTGATTTTCAAACTCTGATATTCTGATATTTTTCTACTATGATATGCTTCCTTGCTGCAAAGGTCATAAAATTGTAGGATTCAAGCCAAAAGGGGCCTTTATGTTCATTTAGTCCAACCAATCTGAGACAGGGAAGGTGACTTACCCAAGGTTTCACATGTAGCAGAGTTGGGATTTGAACCCAAATACTCTGATCCTAAAGGCATCACTCTTTCCACTACACCATGCTGTCCTCAAGACCTAACCTTGCCTCAAAAATATCTGCCTTCAGATCCTGTATTCAAAAGTACCAAAACAGTAGATTTTACTGACAAATTCAATGAAAATCTTAAGTGATTATTTGTCTATGCCCAAACACACACATGCATACCTATGCATACAATCAACTAAATATTTAAAATTTCAATCAGTGGTATTATGAACAAAGATATAAACCACAAAACATAATTGTCAGTTGTATTTTTAATGGGTGCCAGTGTGGAAATAATAAATAATAATAAAATAAAATTAAAAATAATAACAAAATGTGGAAGTTCTTTATGTCCAACTAGGCTTCATCAGGGCAATTTAAGCTAATTCTTTTGTACCATCTTCTATGAGGATTAAAAACAATCCCACCCAAGAAGGAGCTTTCCTTACAGGTTCTTTCCCTTTTCAATCTTTTCCAACCCAACACCCCTTTAACTCTCTCCATGGATGTGATTTTTACCACTCTTCAATCAGTTCATTTATTGTTCTCTGGATCTACTCCAGTTTGGGTTTTGTTTTTTTTTTTTACATCTGTATAATAAGATTTTGATTTTCTGGACAATCTCTTAAGGGCTACCTTAAGAGTCAGTACTGGAAGAGTCAGTAACCAATTCAATCAAATAGAGCACACATTTATTCAGAATTTAGTATGTTGAAGGCACTATGCTAAGCACTGGTTCAACAAAACACTGCCTCCCCTCAAGGAGCTTACATTCTATGGCTGGGGTGATACAAGATGAAGACAAGTGATTATTGGATAGGGAGAATGGAGGAAGTAGGAATACTAACAACTGGTGGGACTGGGAAGACTTCATGGAGCAGGTTGGCATCTGAGTAGAGCTTGGAGGAAAGACAAGTTTTCTAAGAAGAGGGAAAGAGGGAAAGCATTCCAAGCACAGACATCAGCTTGTAGTAAGGTATGGAAGTAAGAGTTAGGTATCAAGTTCAAGAATCAACTGGAATTTCACTTTGGTTAGAATATAGGGTTCATGAAGGTGAGTAGTATGATATGAGGCTAGAAGGGAATCAGATTATGGGGAGCCTTAAATAATGACTATCATTTCCATAGCTCTTTAAGGTTTGCAAAGGGCATTATGAATTTCTCTCATTTGATCCTCACAATAAGCCTGGCATTTAGGTGCTATTGTTATCTTCATTTGACAGTTGAGGAAACTGAGGCAGACAGAGGTTTAGTGACTTAACCAGGGTCACTCAGCTAGTAAGTATCTGAAATACAACATGAACTCAGGTCTTCCTGACCCCAGGTCCAGTGCTATACCACTTAGCTGACTCAAATCACAGGCTAACACAGAACCGTAACTAGGAATTCTGGCACTTGGAGTGTTGGAGTGCACTTGGAGTGCATCTTCATGGTTGTCTCACAAAAAGAAGTGCCCTACTTTTTGCCAAAGCAAAGTTCTCTACCTGCAACTGATCCCATTCCATCCTGTCTCTTTTGTCTCCACTCTCACTTATCTTCAGTCTCTCTCTGTCTACTGGCTTTGTATCCCTAGCATTTATCACATGCTTGGCACATAGTAGGAACTTAATAAATGTTTATTGACTGACTGATTGATTGTTCCTGTGCATGGTAGAGGTATACAAATGATGGGATTTTAGAAGGTTAAGGAACTTGAAGGTTAAGATATTCAAAGAGGATAGATAGGAGTTGGGGTGGAAACAAAGACTGCAAATCAAGATAGCACCATCTTATTACAGAAGCAAGAGAGTAAACTAGTCCCCAGTTGACACTAAAAGAGAATCTGAATAAGTTGGAGTCAACTTTAAAGAAAGAGAGATGGTTATTGAATGATGATGGCAGAGGAAGGCCCTAAGGTGGGCAATGAAGAAAAGTAATATGCCAACTCCTCTTATTTGTCTTGTTCCTCAGGGATTATGAGAGAAAGAATAAGCTAGCCTTGTAGATCATGCCAAGAGAGAATGGCTTCTTCAGGAGAAAATTAGATCTCACTGAGTATCAGAATAGAGAGAGAACCTGAGAGAAAGAGGTAGAGGACTAAAGGATACAGGATTTAGAGCTCTAAGGGACAATAAAGGTCATTTATTGCAACCCTTTAATTTTACAGATGAGGAAACTGGGCCTCAGCAAAATAAAGGTTACTTACCCAAAATTCTAGAGGTAGCAAGTGGCAAAGATTAGATTTAAACTCGGGTTCCTTGACTCTAAATCCAGCTATCTTTCTACTGTGCCACAACAGAGAAAGGACTTCTGAGGGCATAGATGAGAGGAAGACTAGTGGAGAGTAGTTGCTGCAATAGGGAAACTCCCTTACTCAGACAGGGATTCATTGGCCAGTGGTAATCTGCTTTCACCACCGATCACCAGCTGATTCTGCACTGATTTCAGTTATCCCAAATAGTATGGATCCCCTGGTCAAATTGGTTTATGGCATGGAGCAGGGGAGTGAGGAGTACAATACCATCCAACCAAGTGGGAAGGTACCCTCAGAGAGGGACATGACAGCCATAAAATCTTTGGTGGTGAGGGAAGGGTTGGACAAAGGAGAAAGTAAGATATCTTATGCTGGTAGGGGTACAATGTCAGCACTCTGTGCTAGTTCAGGTTCTGATATTCGATCTAAAGAGCTTGTATTTTGCTATTTGGGTAGTGTGGGGACATGAAATGTTTTTGGAAGGGGATATTGTTAAAGCTGCAATATTGTCATATCTACACCTTAAGAAGATTCTTTTGGCAGTTGTATGATGATGGATTGGAGAGAGAAAAGGTTGGAAGCAGGAAATCCAATTAGGAGGCTATTACAGGAGTCCAGATGTGAGATAATGTGGGTTTAAACTAGGATGGTGGCTATGTGAGTAGAGAGAAGAGAATGGATGCAAAGGATGATGTGGAGAGAAAACCATCCACTTGGAAAATTACTGGAAGTGAGGGACAAGTGAAAGGGAATATTCTCAAATTATGAATCAAGGTGGCTGGGAGGATGATGGTGCCCTCAACAAAAATAGAGGAGTTAGAAGGAAGTTTAGATTTAAGGGAAAAGATAATGAGTTTTCCATTTTGAATATGAATAGATGCACAGGATCAATCAGGTGATTGATAAAGCATGGCTGGAGTCCTTGAAAGCCTGGAAGCTGGTACAGAACATGTATTGAGAGAGAAGAGAAAAAACTCTAGTCATATCCTTGATGAATACCCATACTACAGGTGCAGGAGATGGATGATGATCCAATAAAGGATGT